TATATATATATACACCTATGTTTGTGGAAAAAAAGTAACCAAAACATCAGTACAGGTTGGTTGGAATCTATATTATGCTTGCGGTCTATTCACGTGTATCCAACTTATTCAAATATTTGTCACTGAAGTGCATGTGCAGCGAGCTCAAAGATCAATAAGAAAGTCCTGATTTGTAGAAAGGCAAATTTTCAGTCTCTGACAAAACAGTCCAGTTTTGAGCTCCCACGCTTTTAGGTCTAGTAAAAAACTGTTCATTAAATCAAAGGCTACTCCACAGACCTCATCGTAAAGACAAAACGCCTTTTTATGTCAGAGTTATCAATACAAATGAAAAGAGAGTAAGAAAAAATGTAAATCGCTAACGGTTGTATCTTTCCAGGAGATGAAGCTAATAGACTATGACTTGATATTTTTTTCACGTAAGAGAGGAAGAGATCTCATTGATTTATGTCCTGAAGTTCAATGTGTGTGTTGTTGTTGTTTTTTTTAACTTCACCGTAATACGCTTAAACACATTATGCCTTGTCTCAGCCTAATCCCCCCCTCCTCCCCCTGCCCTCAAATTATAATCCAATGCACTGCCTTCATAACGCAGGCTGAAGAGAGTCTATTCTTACGCAATAGTGTTCTGAGCGAATCTGGGGATTTTGCGCTGAGTTCAGCTTTCCAGAAAAAGGTGCGTTCATTTCTTATTTGAGACCCACATTTTCACATCCTTTTGACATCAAAACGAGTTTTAGATTCTCATTGCTGGTCAAATAGAATTATGAAATACACGGATCTACCCTCATCTGCTGAATGAAAACATTTGCAAAACCCTGGTCGTTTTACTTGTCCACTCGCGGAGCCGTTCCACATACAGATACACAGACCCATTTACACATTCTGTCTGTTTGTCTGTCTACTTGTCTGCCTGCCTGCCTCCCATCTGTCTGTTTGTCCGTCTGTCTCTTCATCTTTCCCTCTCCTTTAATCTGAATGAACTTTATGTATGTCGATTTTAAAGTTCATTCCTCAAATTTTCTTTTTCTTTTCGGTATTTTCCGAACGATATCCTAACTACACCCGCGATGGCCATTTTCGTGAATTGAATCTTTAAAGTGAAATTGCTGTAAAGTCCAAAGGCTGATGCAAAAAACCCAGCTCCAAATGAAATACAGAAATCTGTAACAAACTCGTACCTTCTCAAGGTGTACACATCTGAAAGACGAGAATTGTGACAGTTGATTGTAGGCGTGGAAGGAACATCAGACAGCAAAAGCCCGATTCCGTTTTTTATATTATTATAAACGAACTGGATTTACCAACATAGAAATAACCATCGTAATTACACGCAATCAATGCATTGATATTTCTATCCATGGTTGATTATTTCTTTCAATATTACATTACGTAGTTGCTTATTATACGTGGCAGAGTTAGGAGGGCAGTAAGCACTTATTATTGGACACACAGACACGTGAAATGACACAGCAATAAAATGTTTATCTTGAGAAAGAGGTCAGGCGAAACTTATCAATTGAAAGGGAAAATAATCTTCTAGTATATATGGCAGTGGCATCCTGAAGACATGGAGAGGAACAAATGTGCAATTAGATCAGCAGGCTGTAAATGAACCGCACGAATGCATTCAGCGTTGAGATTTAATACCCAGTGCATTTTGCAGAACGTTTCGGCGCATTTCCATCCGATATGGTTAGATTTATTTGACGTTTTCTTTCATAACAAGGCAAAAGCTATTACTCTGGTAGAGTACAATTTAATAAAATCCACTCAAAACAAAACATATTTCAATTTTCTAGGTCACGATTCGATAGGTTTAATGGAAACAACCGAACACAATGCTTTTACTTCAGATCATTTGTTTGCGCGTGTAATTAGGGAAATGCGATTTGGCACTAACGGACTTTGGTAAAGCAAAGGAGAGGTCATCTGGCCAGCGTCATTACCCGACCCCACCAAATCCAGTTTGATCATAAATTTGACCAATGGCCATCTGTTCTTAGACAGCGTGCAAGCTTAATGGCTCAGACGTACTGGTGCTTACATTACCATCTTATAATAGGAAAACGGCTTTTTTCTAGTTTGTGTGTCGCCCCATTACACAAAAGAAAGTGCACTAAGGACGCCAAGTGACTGGCCCTGGTCCGGACACTGGTCCAAACCGAAAGAAGAGTTTGTTGTTTTAAGCATTTAAGGTGGGGGGCCTACACCTGGAGGCTATCTCGCTTATTACTGGACCGAATTTGACCAAATTTCACACATATAACAAGCATAGTAAGGAATCTTAAAATCCGCAATCAAATTTGAGAAAAAAGTTTCGTTTCCATGGATACGCCGCCATATTGGATTTTATTGACATGTCTTACGTAATGAATACCGCACTTATCGCTCATGGAAATGGATTGTTTTTTTGCATGCGTGTTCACAAACATTAGATCTAAAAGTTTGTCTGTTGTTTTTTTCTAATCGAATTAGAAAATTTTTAATGATTTTTTTCCTGAGGTAGCATTCAAGTTTGCGAAAAATCCGTGAAAATCCACACTCCAGACACCACCAACAAAAATCTATTCAATATATCAAAAAATCAACAGATAAAATTTTAGTATTACCTCTTCTCTTCATTCTGTGAAAATTTCATGAAGATTGGATGAAAAATGGTGGAGTTATTCAAAAAAGTATATAGAAAAGTCGCATTTTGAGAAAACGGCCGAAAAAGAAAAAGAAAATACTAACTTTATGAGGAAATGGCGGTTACAAACATGCCCGGTACGGGAAAAAATACGGTTTTTGGGGGTTCTTATGCCATGAAATAGTTGTAGGAGAGGCTGAGGAAGCTAAAAATGCCTACAACTCAAATTCCATGATTTTGAGCCGAATTTTGATTTTGGGGGTGTAGCCCCCCCCCCCTTAAGGAACAGACAGATAGACACACAGGCAGGCAGACAGACAGACAGACAGACAGACAGACAGATTGGTAGATCAATAGATAGACAGACAGACAAACAGACAAATAGACAGACAAATAGACAGATAAACGGAAAGCCTGACGGATAAAAAGATAGATATATATGGATTAATAAATAAATAGATAGAGAGAAATATAGTGCATGAGTGTATGAGAGAGCGAGCCAGTGAGCGAGCGAAGGAGAGAGAAAGAGAAAGAAGGGAAGAGAGAGAGAGAAGGAGAGAGAGAGAGAGAGAGAGAGAGAGAGAGAGAGAGAGAGAGAGAGAGAGAGAGAGAGAGAATTAGTGAGTGAAAGAGAGAAAGACAAAGGAAGGGAGGGGGTAGCAAAAGGGAGCATCTTCTCCTTTGCCTCCAATGTCCTTGGGTTTTTCTACTTTTGTCAGATTATGAAAAAAATGAAGGACATTAGGCATATTTAACTTCTTTAGAAATTGTTCTGTGGAATACGCTTTCTTACAGAAATGCGTTTAAAGGCTGCATGGCTTGCAGGAAAATACTGAAAAAGAAAAAGCCAAGGTCAGTTTATCTATTGATTAATTTTCTATTCCCATTTTCTTTCCTCCCTCAGCGCTGTGAGGCTTTGTAATGTCTCCCGGAGGTTTGCTGAAGCCCAAGGCTGAACACTTTCCATGATTAATGTTCTTAGTGAAAAAAGCACTCAACCACCTTCACCACTCCACTCGACTGCCAGATGACCCAAGAGCTTAGGTGGCAGAGTCACAGATTAAGTTCCGAGATCGAAATTCGGACCATATTTCTGAATATGAGCTGTTTGGAGAATCCTAAAGACTCATCGTCATGTCCAATCTAATTTATTTGTCCTTTCAGAGAATTATGTACTTAATGATTTTTTAAATAGCAGGATACCTGGACGAAAATAGCCCAGCCTGTGCAAAGCGTCATAGGAGAACCATGCCCGAGATACAACTAGCTCTGAAACTGTGTGTGTGCGCGCGCGCGCGCGCGCGCGTGTGTGTGTGTGTGTGTGTGTGTGTGTGAGAGAGAGAGAGAGAGAGAGAGAGAGAGAGAGAGTGTGTGTGTGTGTGTGTGTGCGTGTGTGCCCGCGCGCACGTGTGTGTGTGTGTGTGTGTGTGTGTGTGTGTGTGTGTGCGCGCGCGTGTGTGTGTGCGCGCGTGTGTGTGTGAAATCGGTTGGTGGTCCCAATAAATACTCCATGGTTGTTTCAGAGGCAGGATCACTGATTTCAACATCCATCCCCGATACTTCCGAGTCAAATGGGCGAAAAGACAAGATAAATACCTTAGCAATTTAAAAATAATAACGCCATGTCCGGGATTTGAACAAGGGTCAACCGTACAGAGGTCCAGCGTGATGTTAAACTAAGTTATCGGTTTTTCTACTGAGGGTCGTCGTTTTAAGAGTCAAAACGTTCGATTTTTCAAAGAAATTGTATTGTCCTCTCAATCTAACGAGAAGCTCGTCGCACAAAATGTCATTTGACTGTAGGGATCATGGGAGTAATTTCTTCACTGATCCCACCGAAGCCCCCTAAAAACCTTGAACGAGAACTTTCCGAGCCCCACAATGGGATTTTGGTGGGTCGGGATGGGGGGGGGGGGGGTAAGCAGCTTAGGCCATTTTGTTCTGGAGGACATCTGTATCCAGCAAGCGTCTGTGATGTAGCTGTTAGGCGCTTCGACGCGCACGCAGAGGACACGAGTTTGGTTCTGGAGTTGGGGGGGGGGGGGGTTATCTAGTAGAGATCTATCTGTCTGCTGGGGCGTTTCATCCCTCTCAGCCCAGTTTGGCCTTGACAAAGGGTGTCGAAGCCAGCTTCCTAAATTATCTAAGCTGGGCCAATGAGGGCGTAAAACTTTTAAAATTACATATTTTTAAATATCCATATCTCGACTTCTTGCACGAGAATGCTTTCTGGTGATCCATTGTCACCACGGTTGAGCAGCGGGGTTAGTTTACATGTTTTATTCATGAGATTTGTTATAATAATCCTTCCCCATTCCAGTCTATTATTAAACCTTCTCTTGTTATGCCCTATTGTAAATGGTTTCAGTGAGTTGGGCGGACGCTTCGCCAAAAGCCTTCAATTTTGTTCAGTAAGGTAAACGTTTCAACAGTGCCACAAGTAAATATCTTACCACAAAAGATATAGTCTAAATAATAACTTTCGCTAAACCAAGAAATAATCATATGTTCGTAAACTGGTTTGATTTTTCGGTTTCCACAAGGTGAAGTAGTGCATGAGCTTCCAGCCGCTGGTTAGAGAAAACAGACTACGGGGATAAAGTGTAAAAGAAAATAAAAGAAAACAATTTTTTTAACAAACTGGTTCGGGAGCTCGTAGACATTAGATGGGAAAACACACAGAGCACACATGATAAGCACTTAAGAAAATAACTTACATTTCTGGACGACTTATCCAGGCATTAGACGGCATCGCTGTCAAGTAATATAATATGTGTCAGCGCTTGTCATCATGCATACGTAAGCTGCACTGGGTTGTTACGCCGCTTTTTGAGGCCCAAAATGAAAACAAATCGATCTTCGATGGATTTTTTTGTTTTGTTTATCTTATTTCTTGAAAGTATGGTTTTCTTTTAAATTTTCATATAAAAATAAATAACTTTACTCCATTACAGGCATTTTTATTTTTATTTACTTCTGGGGTGTATAAGGTTTGACTGAGCACACTGCTCAACTTCGTAGTCTGTTGCCACAGCATCACTTTTTCGCACTTTGCATTCTTAAAGTTTCGACATGTTCACCAAATATAATCCGATTAACTTCATTCTTCTATTGGAAGAATCGGACAGTTTTTGACAATAATGTTAGTTCAGCCATTGAACGTTTCGAATAATGTCTGATTTTGATTGGCACTGATACATCTGTTCTTATTGACAATTTAGATGTATACACACAAAAACAATGATATAGTACGGATAAAACCACAAAATGGAACATGCCCTATCATAAACATATTTATACACATACGCATACATGAAAACACACACACACACAAACACACACACACACACACACACACACAAACACACACATACGTACACTCACTCTAACACACACAGCCACACACACACATACGCGTACACTCACGTACACACGCATATACACACATACTCACATAATACACACTCAAACATACACGCACACACACACACAGACACACAGACACACA